TTAGATGCTAAAATTATCAGAGTTCAAATTATTGTTATTAAGATGCCATAATTAATCCAAAATGAGCTAGCAAGCAGTGGAGTTTTTTGGGTTTTTTTATAACAATACTTCACTTTAAAAAATAAATTTATTTATTTATTTAATTATTTTTGGCTGCGTTGGGTCTTTCACTGCTGCACACGGGCTTTCTCTAGTTGCAGAGAGCAGGGGCTACTCTTCCTTGTGGTGCGTGGGCTTCATCATTGCTGTGGCTTCTCTTGTTGTGGAGCACGGACTCTAGGCGCGCAGGCTTCAGTAGTTGTGGCACATGGGCTCAGTAGTTGTGGCACATGGGCTTAGTTGCTCCGTGGCATGTGGGATCTTCCCGGACCAGAGATCGAATCCATGTCCCCACCATTGGCAGGCAGATTCTTAATCAGTGCACCACCAGGGAAGTCCCTGTTTTTTGTTTTTTAACCATGCTCTTTCCAGCACACTTTCTGTGGTGGAATGCAGTGCAATATGTGTAGGAATTTTATTGCACAAGTGCCTTCATCCCTCACATCCTACTCCATTCCTTTATGTGAAATGCAAAAACCATAAATGTATCATCAAATTTATAGATTTTAGATAGCTACTCTAAAAAGCATGGGATGGGGAAAATACTTGACTCCTGAGAATTTTTCCTCTCTTGCATTCCATACAGCCAGATTGACGATTACTAAGATGTTTTTAATAGCTCTATAGTATGGTCCAATTTTTCCAAAGGGTAAAAATGTACTTTTTGAAGTATTCACCTAACTGGTATAAATACAACCTTTCATGCAGAAAATGTCTCCTCAAATGGAAGAGTTAATGCACTTCAAATATGTGAGAAATTTTTCTTCTAATTGTGCAATGTTTAGTTAAATGTTCCACCGTATTTTTTCATTATAAAATTTTGGGAAACATTAGTGAAATCTAACACTTCACTTTATAAATCAGTGCTAGAAACCAACATGTTCTCATGGCTTTAATGACAGCTAAGATAGTTTTTAACTATCTGAAAAAGTTTGCCTTGATTTTGGCCTTTATTTAGTGAAAGTGGTTTCTCCCTACAGGCATGTATTGCATCTTGCATGAATGGGCAAAAGGATTCTTGCTGTGAAAAATCTGCAATTCTCTCCAGTTTAGTATCAAGAAGTATACCTGCAGCAGATGTCAATATAATCTTTTCCCCAATACAACATGAGGCCATACACTTCCAGAACTAATCTATGATCACTGCTAACTCTAATGGGCCCCTGTTGCTTACACTTGAGAGTGACTCCACCTGCCTTCTCAGCCTTGTCTCCACCTCCCCTGATGCATTGTTCCTGTATTGCCTGATCTGCCTTTGGACAAACTGTTCTCTCTCCTCAAAAATGCCCCTCCCTTATTACTCTCCTGTTACACTCCTGTTCAGATATGCCTATTTAATGGGCTCTCTCCATACACCCAGAAGAGTCCATTTCAGTTCCACCTCTGTTTTCCTAACAGATACTGCCATGACAGCACAAATGACATGGTAATGTAACACCTCTGAGAGGCAATGTCTTGCAGTGGCTAAAGGTGAGAGGTTGGAAGATAGAATTTGAATCCTGGCTCTGTCATTTTATTACGTGTGGCCTTGGGCAAGTCACCTTAACCTCCACAAGCCTCAGTTCTCTCACCTATAAATCAATACTACCTATGTTATTGGTTTACTGTGAAGAGTAAACCTTCTTAGCATAGTGCCTTAATCACATGATGAGGACTGACATCTTAGCATTACTATTAATGCATGAAGGAGGATCCCAAGATGGCAGATAAGCATATTATGCTCTTGTAATTTGAAGGGTTAACGCTCAGAGTAGGATCTGAAAGTGCAGACATCTTGAAATCATGGGGCGGTGATTTCCTTTGGGAAAGCATGTGAGAAATTGTTAAACAGGGGCAAACAGACAGTAAGCTCACACACAAACTCTCAAAAGAGCTGACAAGGGCTGCTTTCAGGATAGCTCATCTTTGGTTGTGACACATGACACATAAAAAGAAACTGGATGTTGCACAAAGCCAAGAATGAAGGGCAACATGGATATATGCCTTAATTTCTCTACAAAGAGATTCTGTCTGGTGGTAGAGACTCCCAGAGATACCTGTTACAAAATGGAGACATTTAGGTAGTGGAGAACAGTCCAGTGTCAGCTTAGATGAGCAAATTACAAACTGAGAGCCCACCTCATTTAAAATTTCTTTCCATTATTTTTCATCTGAAATGCAAAATAGAGAAAAAGGGAAAAAATGCCATGAAATTTATTTCCTTTCAGGAAAGAAAATAAAAAACAAATTACAACTTTTGCCAGATGAACACCTGTCTAAAACAAATGAGAGGTTTAATGCATTACAAAATGCCACTTGGAGGGCCTCCTTGGCTGAGAAAAAAATTCATATTTTATTTCCTTAAATGAATGTAACTATCCCCATGTGCATCGGTCTCAGACGAGAAAACTCTCTGGGTACTTTTCCTGACCAACTTGAAGAGAAAATTCAATTTACTATTGCTTGTTTTTAAACAAATCAAAAGCCAAGGGAGGGCAACAAATTAATCAAATGATCGTTTACATTCCTTGTATTATATGTTTCTGAAGAATAAAGAGAAAAAAACTGCCTTTGCATCATAGAAGAGAAATTTAGAAAAACACTTTTAGAATATTATTATTATTTTTTTATGCTCCTTTGTTCAACTGTGCACACGGTTTTAAGCATTGTTGAATTGGCTTTTCATCTTGTAGGAAAGCAAGGTAGCAATTTTTCTTAAGGAATTGGCAGTGATGTGTTCAAGTGCTTAGCTCTTTCCTTCTGGCAAAAAGAGACTGGCCTGGGGTGGGGGAAAAGGAGCCAAGAGTGACCAGGAGGAGAGGAGGCTGCTTAGAACTTGCTATTCAAGGTTGATAGCAGCTTTTTACAGGCTGTGTAAAGCAGGATTGTGGTTGGCAGCAACTTATGGGTGTGCCAAAGAAAATGAGTCCATGTGCTAAACCCTGGCACATGCATGGTAGGTTGCCGAGGCATGGCATAGGCCCTAGGCAGCCTTGTGATGTCTGCCCCAGAAAGTAAGTGAAACTGTTCCCATTTATTCCATGAGGATGGTGAGTGGTTGGATGTTTGGATATCATAAAAACCCCTGGCACAGAAATCTGCCATTTTGGCTTACTTTCATTTAGTCATTTTTCAGATTAGAAACACCTGAAGGGAGAGGCGCAGAAGTTAAAATTCACACCTATTAAGCCATGCAAGCAGTTGCAGAGTGGCAGCCCATTCTAGGGCAAGCAGGCAATGCTATCTGATGAAATTTAAGTTCTATGTTAAGGAATGACATATATAAAACAGGACACTTCTTTGCTTTTCCATATAAAAGAGTTCCCACAAAGGCCTGGATGATGGAACCTAACGTATGTTTTATTTTAATCCTTTTCTGTTTTATTCTCTCTGGTAAACTGTAAACAATTGCTGGGATTTATTTCAGTTCAAAAAGTGGGCCATATAATTTCAGATTAAATTTCTTAAATTCACAATGAACTCAGTGAAAAATTTCACCTCTATTTCCTTTTACTGTTTCTACTATCCAAACCCTCACCACATGATCCCTGGTCCTCTACAGTTTATCCAAAGTCTTAGGCAGGTCAAGATCCTTTTTACCCTTCACTAGTGAATTCAGTGCTATTGTAGGAGAGAAGCATTCTTTCCTCCCCTTTTCACTTAAAAAAAACATGCCAAACCTGAATAGACTCCAGGCTAGACTGGGGGAGGGAGTGATTTTTATTAGTTCTAACATAGCTATTGACACATGCTTGAAGACAATATTTAAAAGAAAGCAAGAGAAAGAGTAAGAGGAGTAAGAAAGCAAAATAAAGGAAGAGAAAAAAGGAAGAAAGAAAGAGCAGGCTTTCACTTTATGCCTTAGTGGGCAAATGGGTTACAATTTAATTTCTAAGAAGAACATTTTACAGAATAAAATTGCCTAACATTTCTTTCTCTTCATCACACATATGAGAAATATAAACTAAAAGGACATCTGGAAACGAACATTATTCAGCAATCAGAAAGCAAAAATACAAGCCATTGATGTTTTGATGGAGACAAACATACGAGATTCACAAAGAAGAAAGCTGTAACTTATTGAAGTAAAAAAAAAAAATTCCATATGCATTTTACCTTTTGGGCAGTTCCATAGAAAAGTTCTGTTTCAGAAGCCCTTTGTAATATGAAACCCACTGTAGATAAGATACAAGGTGAAGATAGTCTGTTTTGCAGCAGCAGGAAATCAAATTGGTTCCAGAAACAAAGTTACATGATAAATGGTCTAATAGTATTGCTAGAATTGGAAATCTTGACTGAATTATTTTTCATAACCATTAAAAAAAGATTTTGAAATAACTTTGCCATAGCTGTTTAGATTTTTTTTGGGGGGGAGGGGGAGGGCGTTGTTGCAGAAGTGGGAAGACATCTCATTTTACTGGCCTTTTAAACTAAAGTGTTATAATTTGTTATCAAAATTTAAGAGCTCAGTGGTGATTTATTAATTTGTTTGCAACAAAAAATTTCAAACACAATACTTTTTTAACATAACTCATATACGGTATGGAGGATTAAACAGGTTAAAAAAGAGATATACTTTATTATCATATTCAAGTTATTTTTAGTTTTAATCCTAGTACCAATCAGTCTTATTTATTTAAAAATCATCTGGAAAAGTTCATTAAGTCTTAGGCAAATCTTAGATTTTAAGACAGACTTCTAAACGGTTAACAAGATGTATCACTGACAAAATATCCCAGCGACTGATACCCGTAGGTGAAATGAAATTATTCTGTCTGAAGTCAGGAACAAGTTAAATACCACTTATACCACAGCACACGACTACAGAGATTTAGGAGAAAACATACTTAAATAGGATGTGACCAGACATTTAGGACTATTTTCCAAAAAAGTCAAAAAACGTTTTTCCCTTCAGTACTTACAGTCTTTGAAGACTAGAGCCGGGTCTCTGTGAGGCAAGACTTGGGCAATGATGTGTCTCAGGGATTCCAAGGTTCTGTCCATCTTGGGTCTGCCTGTGCGAGCCTGCTGCACAGTGTCCTCATGCCTGAATTCTTGCAGTCCTGGTCTGAATTTGTGCAGCTCATTGATGCACAGGATTACCAAAGAATCTCTTTTAACATCTGCCAATCAGACATTTCCCAGAATCTAAAGACCCCTCAGGGGGCCCTCCTCCCAGGCTCACTTATCTTTGTTGTATGCTGAGCTAATTAGCTCAAAAGGCTGGCTGACAGGCGGGTTCCCATTGCTTCCTTCTGTTAAACACACCCACCTACAGGCTAGCTGGGGAAGCTCACTAATCATGGGAACAGCTTTCCTCTCCAACAAGATTTTGCCTGAATGGTGTGCAGCTTTCTGACTTCCATATTTCTTTTGGCCACTCATCTTCTAATGTGCTGTCTTCAGGTATATAGGAGCAAGAAGGTTATTTCTCAAGAAAGTTTCCTTAGTAGCAAAGGAGTTTCCAGCTCAGGACTTCCAGCTCAGAATCAGTATAATCTAAATTCTTCTCGGTAAAGAAGTGCTGTAAAGATTGTGGATGTAGCCAGGCACCAGATCATGTATTGTATTTGAATTCAGGAGCATCTCTTTGGGAGCCAAGTGTTTAATTTTTTCACCCACCCAAATTATAGTCACTTTTGATGGGCAGTGGCAAGTAAAATCTCATAGTCTGTGTTTTGACTTGCTTGGGAACATTTGTTTCCTTCTTTATCTTTCCAGGCAAATCGTTCCCAAGATTGACTTTAATGAATTCTGATATCATTCACTTCCTTTCATTTCATGATAACTTTTTATATTAAAAATTTCAGGAGAAGTAAAAATATATTTTTCAAAGAATATAGGTGGTTATGAAAGTATCTGAAGAAAACAAAGCTTTTTCTACCGATGTCCTACACCACTCACAACAATGTTAAATAGTCCTTCCACAGGAGACATGTCATAGAATTCTACTGCAGTAATAAGGATTTAAACCAGATATAAAAGAACTGATTTTAGTGGCTGTAACCTATGTTAGTTGTTGATGGCTTGTTGAGGACTTCCTGCCTTTTATTTAAAATATTTTTCCAGGGTAGGCACAGGAGATCACTTTCCAATGTTCTTTCTAATACTCAGATTCCATAATTATGTTGTACTATATGATTAACTGAAACCGGTTCTTTAAAGACTATATAAAATGTTTTCCATGTGATCAGCTTCTTCGGCTAGTTGGTAGAAGCGGTGGGCTTAATAAAAGGAAACAGAAGGAATGAGGCTGTAATAGTAATTCCTATTATAATGACCATCACCTAGTAAAATGCACACAGAGAGTATGCATATGCCACACACAACAGACATATAGGGTTGCCCCAGAATGCAAAGATATTATAAAAAAAGAAATTGAAAGAAGTCGCACTTCATAGGGTCCCGAAGTGTACTTTACATGGGCTGTAACAAATAGGAAATCATCAATGTCCTTGCCATCCAGTTCATAATTTAAAAGAGAAAATAGATGGTTTGTAGACAAAAAATTATTATATATTGATTGGGTATGAAGCATAAATGAATGCAAATATTTTCAGTGTGATACTGAGATAGAAACCAAGATATTTTAGGTTCCCATTAGAGGAACAGAAAAAATAATATGGACTTCTCAGGGGAGTGAGACTAATAATATAAAAGTAGACAAATTAGAAATAAGTTTGGGATTTCAATCAATAGTGGACTTTTTATGGGCTTAAATTTAATTCCAGTAGTACATAAAGTATTTTGGTTGTGTAGTGTGGTGGAAGGAACACTGAATTTGGGATTAGTAAGATCTAGGACTTGATTTTAGTTATCTGCATAACTTTGAAGAAGTCACTTATCTTCTCTGGACTCAGAGTCCTCATCTGGAAAATTAGGGGTTTGAGCCAGATGCTCTCTTTCAGATCAAACATCTATGATACTATGGGTATATTACAAATGAGCACAAATATTATCATACATTTTCTAGCCTTCTGGAAAGTCATAGATTTATTTCCTAGAAGCCAGACTGTCTTCAAACAAATCACTACTATTCTCATAGTCAACTTCATACCCATTCATCAATAGTAAGGGACACATATTCATAGAATGAATTAAAAGATACTCACCACTAAAGCTAACTAAAACTAAGGGTAAACATTTATTAATAAAACTTATCTTCAACCTCTGTAAGATTTTTTTAAAAGGCAAACTGTGAACATCTGCTTAGAGAACCCCAAAACAGCTTTGCAAAGATAATTTCATAAAGATAACATGATCTTTATTGGGTTATATTTTAAGAAATAATAATAAAAAAAGAATTCTAGAAAGGTGGATATACAACATTCCAATTGGATAGTATATTTTCTTCTTTCTCATTAGGCCCAGTTCTTCAGCAGATGTTTTCTGAAGCCTTTGCATATTCATTTCTTCCTTGTCTGCCCTTAAAGACTTCTTACCTTAAAGTGCTATTGTGAGACTGTCTAGAAAAACAACTCAGTGGTTTCTCACCATTCTCTCTGATATAGAAAACACCTGATGAAGATGGAAGAGCCTTAGAAACCCCTGTGCAATGTGCCTGTTTTAGTACATATTCTACAGTTCACACATTAGATTTTACTGTCAACTGCAATCATCTCTAGTCATACGGCAAAAGCAAAATCAAAGTATTGAAACAGGGTAGATGACTACAGTGAAAACCAAAACGATATTTTTAGAAATCCTGTTAAGGGTAACACTCAGAAATATGAGAAATGGAATCAAACTGACATATTCAGTGTTCAAAATTTATCACCCAATGGTAAAAGTGGAAGGCTGAGTGCAACAGCACACACAAAGCTCCCATAGAGTACTGATAATAATACAGATGAGTAATATTCTTGTTGTTAATTAGTTCATTACAGGTAAAAACTGATAAGGAGGCAGGGGCCACCAACTGAAATAACATCCAGAATGTTAGAAAACATAATGCAGCGAAGAATCATCTTCGGTTGAAAACAGGAAGTACCTCCACTATCCTCCTTGCTGTGTCACTTCATACAATGCTTGGCCCTGGAGGAGGAATATGGGTAGGTGAAATAGGAGAGTTGGCCTGTTGATGAGGCTACAGTGACCTTGATGAGTACAGGTCCTGAAAGATTTTAGCACAAGGTATGCAAATTCCAAAGAGTAGGCATTAAGTAACTGAGTCTGAGCTTATTGAGAACTATTCAAAACAGAAACAATGGGGAGCAATTGACAGCAGCTCCTTCCAGATTCCACTGGAGATGGGTGGGGGAACTGGTAGGTCCTAAATACCAGATTGGCCGAAGAGGGTCAGAGCCCTGTGCAATGTTGCTGGGGGCTTGGGGGAGGGGGAAGAAGGGCAAGGCTAGGAAGAAACTGACTTTGCAGGGGTACTGACTAATGACTGTTCAGTGTCAGCTTTGTTTAGCCTCAACTAGGAAGAGGCCAGTAGGAGGAATGAAAGGCTGGTTAGCATCAACTTTGTTTACTCTCAACTGGGAAGGAACAAGTAAAAGGAATGAAATGGCTTCTCAGTGTTAATTTGTTTACTCTCAACTGGGAAGAGACCAATGAAATGTTTGAATCAAGGAAGCTATTAATGAGAGGGTCAGTTGGAAAGGCAACTTCAAATTATCAGACAAAAGTTTAAAAACACAGGCAACGTAATAAAAGAACTTTATCTCAGATATTCGTTCATTGATATTTTGCTATATTCAGAAAATCATTATTAAGTACTGATCTGTTGAACTACATGAATAATTAGAAAATTGATAAATCTCCCATCTACAGATTAAAGGAATGTACATTCTCTCATTTTTATAGAAAATTATGAAAAATGCTTTCCTGAAATAATTTCCCTCCCCACCAGATAAAAACACTAGTGAACTGCCCTTTGTCTTTGCCAGGGCAGTCAGAGAACCAAAAAGCACAATGAAAGTAAACCCTTCATTTATCTGCACCTTCTGTTTCATATAATTTGGGGATCCTGAATGAGCCCACATCATCTTGATTGTTTTGTGTAACCAATTACCCAGTCCAATCTTGGTATTTTGTCTCCAAAGAGAAGTAAAATTGATTCTTCAAGAAATACCTTAGAGGACAAAGATATCACTGGAGGAGGCTTTGCTAGTTCACGGGTTAACACTTCCAAGATAAACAGAGGTATTTAAAGGTGCAGGAATTTGGATGTTCAAATTTACGAGATTGGAGGTAATGGTGCCAAGCCCTTGGGTCATGAGATATGTGTTCTATGAAAACTGAATTGATTACTTAACTGTGGCTGGCTGACTTCCAGCATAATAATGTATTTTGAAAAGAAGAGTTAAAATTTTTTTTTAGCTTGCTTTTAGAGTGGACTATGCCAGTGGCCTTTACAACAATGTTTTATCTTTAATAAATGTTTATCTGATTATTGGTTCCTCTCCCTCTCCTTGCATTTTCTCACAGGACCACCACCCCTACTCCCCCTGCTTCCCACTTTCCAGGACAGGAATTTATTGGTTGTTGGGGAAAAAACATATAAGCTGTGGCTGTTACGGTCCGGGACCCACACGCCTGGAGTCAAGTTCCCCGGTAAACGAGACCCGTGTCCCAACCAAGGACGCCCGAGAATCACCAACACCAAGCAGAAAGATTAGCAAAGGATTTATACAAGTATAGAAGCTTACACAAACTGTCCAGACAGGGTCCCACTCGGAGAGAAGTGAGTGAGACCCCGACTAACAGCCGGGCGAGGCCTTTATACCCTTCACAGGCCGGAAAGTCCCCAAGGCGGGAGGGAGCTGTTTAATTTTGAATCAGCCAATCAGGAACCCGGTTCTTCCCGCCCCAAGCAAGCAAGCAAGTTTCTTACAGAAGCCAAAAATGTGCTGTTAGCCCTGAAGCTGTTCTTCCGTTTCTTTCGTCACATGGCTATAAAATGATCAGATTCATCTTAAAAGAGTTATCTGAACTCCAGTTAAACAAAGGTCAAAACCACCCGAGTACACTGGTTTTCCTACCATTCGCCTTGCTGGTAGCATGAATTCCATCTTTTCTCTCACTCCCAACCTTATTCAGTCTATGTGGCTTTGGAAAAGTAATTTTACATCTAAAGATGTTTTCCATCCCTAAAATAAGAACTCCAGTTTTATTTTTTTATCTAAAAATAAAAATAAAGATGTGGTCTTCTATAAGGGGCATGCTGGGGGGTGAGACACACACCCAGTTTACATGGACTAACTAGAGCTACCCTCTT